ATTATGGGTCCTAAATTTTCTTACTATTCTCGTCTGTCCTTACCAAACTCCTTTTTTGCGTTCCTCGTTACTTCTTCTTTTTTTTCATATTCTTTTTTTTTGTTGTCAAGCTTTTTTTCTTTTTTTTTTTTATGTTTTTTGCCTTTTTCTTGCATTATATTACTATACGTTGTGATCTTTGTAAACACACACACGCCACACACTCACACACACTCATACTCACACACACACACACACACACACACACACACACACACACACGTGGCTGACCTTGCGAGCTTGACGTGTCCTCCCTCTGGATGCAGGAGACCGTGCACGGGTTTTCCGTTGATGACAAGACCGACTGCATTGCGACGGGGGAGAGCGCGATGGGAGTGGCGGTGAAGGTGCATCGCACAGGGCGCGGCCGCAGGCAGACAACCTCAGACACAAACACAACAGGCAGACAACCTCAGACACAAACACACACACACACACACACACACACACAGATACAGACACGCAGATACAGACACACACACACACACACACACACACACACACACACACACACACGCACACACACGCACACACACACGCACACACACGCACGCACGCATCTCACCGCCAACGCCAGTGCCGACGGTGATGTAAGCGCAGGATGAGTGACCCATGGCTTCGCCGTGTGCTTTGAACTCAGCGAGGGCAGGGGCATTCACATCGGTGTCAAACTTGTGGGGGACCCGGCCGTTCCACAGTGGCGCTACTACGTTGGCGTTCTGCGGTCGCGTATAGCAGTGGCACGTGAGGTCACACACGAGGGTGAGGAGGAGAAGAGGAGAGGAGTGGGCAGGCACTCAGGCAGAACTCAATGCGAGCAGGCTGCAATCAACCAAGGCACGCAGGGAGGCACATGGTGCATCTATCTCACCTTCCAGTGCGGTTTGGGCGTTGATGTGATGTACCCGTACTCGGGGTGGTCTGTTGCCGTCGTTCAAGAGGCCAAGGAAGCACGTGAAAGATGAGCACGTACACGCAGGGCGATGATGCACCTCCAGGGAGTCGTGCACGCATGCAAGCCGCACCACAGACCCCAGGACACGGGTCACTCATGAAGCCGACACTTCACTGGACACTGACCTCTCTTTGGCTCGATGGGCCCAAAGGTGGCAATGCCGAGGGCGTCGTACTCGTGCTCGTCGAGCCACGCGCGAATCGCAGGCAGCGTTGTCTCCGGCTTCTTCGTTTCAAAGACGGCACGCTCCTGTCGTCTCGGCATGGTGAGTGTTGATGTCGATATGAGATGCGGGCGTGAGACGTGGACGTGAGATGCTGATGGAAGACGTGGGCGTAGATGAGCGATGCGCGTGCGCGCGCATCCAACTCGACGACGTCGTCGGTGTGACGCGTTCTGCACCTCACAACAGCCATGAACAAGACATGCGTGTAGCATCGCACCGTGATATTGGTCGGTGACCCAACGGCAATGGCGACGCGCCAGGTCTGGCCACCACCCTCCACGCCAGCAAACACCTGCAAGAGCGTGGATGACAAGGCGATGAACGAGAAGCATCAGAGTGAGCACGATGCTGCGATCCCAGTCAAGCCTGCGCTGTATGTGCATCCATCCACGACTGCATCCACGACTGCATCCACGACTGCAAACGCGAGTCCACATTCACAAATGCATGCACACATCCATCCATACATGCATCGATCCATACACCTCCCTCCTCCGCATCGTCCAAACAAGCGCATGCTTTCTTCTTTTCCAGCACCCTTGCCACACCTTTGGGCGCTGCTGGCTCGTTGCCTGCTGGACTTGGCCGCAGGCGCCACCGATGGCCGACACCACTGCGCCCAACACGCGCTCCAGCACGCTCGCAACCAACACCAGCATCTTGTTTGAGTCTTGCTTGCTGTCTTCGTTGTGGTGTTGTTTGTGTTTGTTGTGTTTGTTGGTGGGGTTTATTGGGGAAAACTCGCTGAAATCTTACACTGCTCCCAGCGCTCAGAGATGGGGAAGGCAATTGCGGCAAAACAAAGGGCAGCGGTGCGCATGGGTGAATGTGTGTGAGAGCACGCGCCTCATTTGTGTTTTGGGCAAAGGACAGGAACGACGAAAGCCGGCATGATAGCAACAGCGCTGACGCCACACACACACACACACACACACACACACACACACACACACACACACACACACACACACACACACACACACACACACACACACACACACACTCGTAGTTGCACAGATCACGTCAAGGAAGAGTGGAGGTGGGCGTCAAAGCAGCTGCTGGCGAGCGTGGGCAGGCAGACTGGAACGATGGTGCTCAGGGCTGTGCCTTGAGAACACTCGCGGCAACAGTAGCCGGTCTTCTTGCCGCAGATGCAGCAGCGCAGTCGCGTGTCCTTCGCATGCCCGTCCGCATAGTAGGGGTGCAGTCGGAGCAGCATGGGCAGGTGCACCGACAGCGGCGCATTGCGACTGCTGCTTGCTGCTGTTGCTGGGGCGACGCTTTGTGCCTGCTGCTGCTGTCCCTGGTCGCGCAGTGGCGCCTGATGGCGATCGTGTTGTGGTTGTGGGTGTGGTTGTTGTTGATGTTGCTGCCGTTGCCGTCGTGGTTGCTGTTGCTGCCGTTGTCGTCGCTGTGGCTGGACGCCGCTGGGTGCAGGTGCGCTGGTCGGTTTATCTGCAGTGTTGGTGGCCAAGTCCTTCGCCAGGAGGAGGCGAAAGCGCCAGAAGGGCGTGTGCTCCTCACCCCAGCGATGGCAAAGCATGAGGTATGCATCGGTGATGCAGATGCCAACGAGCGTGATGAGGAGGTGACGAGCGGGCGCGTTGGTCGTGAATGCTTCCGCTAGCAACCGCGCACCTTGAGAAAGGACGCCGTGCATTGCAGCCTTGCGCCTGCTGCTGCAGTACAGATGTGCAATCGGCGACTGTGTGATTGCGTCGTCGCTGTTGTCGTGACGATGCTGTGTTGCATCAGGGCTGCGTGTTGAGACGAACGTCATCACACCCCGAGCAGCGCGCCACGCATGGGCGATGATGTAAACGGGGGATATAGCAGCACTACCACTGTGCACAATGCTGCTCAGGTCAACATCCGCTGTTGCCGTGAAGGTGCTCCCCATGGGCGCAGGCGTGTGATGTGCCAGCCACTCCTGGTGTGAGTGAGTGTGTGTGTGTGAGTGTGTGTATGTGTGTGTGAGAGCGTGTGTGTGAGTGTGTGTATGTGTGTGTGAGAGCGTGTGTGTATGTGTGTGTGTGTGTGCGTGCGTGTGTGTGTGTGTGTGTCACAGTCACATATTGCCTCACAAAGGCGAGTGCTCCCTCACCTTTGGGAAATGCCGTGTCATGGTCTCCACGTTGCCAATGAACTGCAAGCCCCTCCTCTTCAGCTCATATGCGGCTTGGACGGATGCGACGGCGGGCCCGCCAACGAGCATGCGACCGGAACCAGCGTACGCCTCAGCTGCATCTAACATCCACGCGCAGTTGCTGGCAGCAGGATTGCTCCCATCCCCTTCGTCACCAGCAGCACCATCCTCAAAGTCGCTGACGTCCAACCACAACACGACACCAGATTCGCCGTCCGCGAGTGACCTGAGCTCCATCTCAGCGCCGCGCTCTGCACTGCATCCATGGGCCACACCGTCCATGGATGCACATGTGTCTGACGTGTGCGCGTGTAATACGAGGGTGCCGCCCGCTCGGAACTCACGTCGAGACGCGTTGAACATCGCAATCGCTGGCTCAACAGCAGCAAGGTTTGGGCGAAGCCGCTGCCCCTGATGTTGGTGTTGGTGTTGTGCAGGATCATCACCAGGAGCGTCAGGGACGACGGCTAGACAACTGAGGATTGCTTCAAACCGAGACCGCGACAACCCGAACGTCTGCTCGAACCTGAGACAAGCAAAGGTGTCGGAATCACGGTAGCTGTCATCCCAGCACTGGTGGAGAGGAAGGCCGAGGTGAGCCACGCCCACGAACGCTCCAAAGACACGCAGCATCTCCCCGGTGGTGGTCACACGCTGGCCCTTGGCGGCGAGGTTGGCTGATGTTGCGCTCACGAGCGCGTCCAGGAAGGTGCTGGGAAACGCAGCGAGGAAGAAGCCAAGCAAGTTGTCTGGCCGGAGCGTCAAGGCGGGCGTTGGCGGCGAGAAGGAGGGCGTTGGTCGACGTACGTGTTGCAGCGAAGACGCAGCGCGAGCGGGCTTCCACCACACGTGCTGCACGAGCACAGCCGCCGGCTCCTCTGCTTCATCTGGTTCGTGAGCGTGTGTATGCGCGCGGCTCTGCTGCGGTGAGCCTGAGTGTGGTGGATGCTGTGCGGGTTGGTTGCTTGGCTCGGGAACCTCTATCGCCTCAGCTGGCTCCAGTGCCTGCGTGTCTGCTTGCGCTGGCTGTATCGCTGCTTGCGCTGGTGTCAACCCTGCGCCAGTGCCATGCTGCGTGCCCGTGCCATGAGCAGCAGCTTGTCCTGTGTCCAGTTCCAGTGACCGTGTGGGCACGGTGGATGCGCTGCCCGTGCTCCAAACAACACGCCAGCGCCGGCCCCTGCCTCGTCCTGTCTGCTCCTTGATGGTGCCCTTGACCAACCTTGTGTGTGCGCCTGGCCCAAACGCCTCGCACGCGCGGGCTACGCCAAAGGCAGCCACGGCAGACGCCACGACGCGGGCGCCAACACCAAGCTGCTTCGCCCTCTTTCGAGACGACATTGGGCGCCCTCACAGTGTGTGAAACACAGTGAACGTCGGTGTGAAGTGTGTCTTTTACTTTGGCTGTCCTTCTTCTCCCACACCAACCAGCCAACCAACCAACCAGCCAACCAACCAACCAACCAACCAAGCAAGCAAGTGCCACCACCACGTCAACCAAGTCATCACATCACGACTGCGGCGTGGCCGTAGTGGTGTGGATGAGGCGAACAACACGGTTCACGTGGTTGCACACGCGTTCTATGTTGGTGTCGCGCTGTGCCACGTCCGTCCGCGCGCCAGCAAAGTACACCCGCCCCGCCACCTGGTCAATCGTGCCCTGGTTGTGTGTGTGTGTGTGTGTTGTGTGTGTGTGTGTGTGTGTGTGTGTGTGTGTGTGTGTGTGTGTGTGTGTGTGTGTGTGTGTGTGTGTGTGTGTGTGTGTGTGTGTGTGTGTGTGTGTGTGTG